GATTTTTTGGGTAAAAAGTATTTAGAAGTGGGAAGAAATTTTTCATTTTTTCCTCCAAAACGTAGATAACTCATTTCTTCAAAATAATGTAGCATTTACTCTTTATCATTACAAATACATCTTTTTATTTCTTTCTTGATCCAACTGCTATGCTCCGATTATGAAATTATATTTTTAATATAAGTCTAAATTTGTAAAGCAATTGTGTAAAATATTACCAAAAACAGTTTAACTTAACAAAACCCTTTAAACCTTATTTTAACTTAGACTTGAGAAATCGATGGTTATTTTAACCTTAAACAGGCTCATTTTCGACACTTTACCTTTCAAATTTTAGATTTCTAAGAAATTAAAAAAAGAAATGATTACATTTATTAGCTTCTAGTTAGTGGTCTAATTTTTTGTTCAATAGGCTGGCCTTGAAACATGCGTGCAACCCTATATCTTCGGCTTTTTCTAGGGTGGGGGGGACGTGGGAAGCCCCCCCCCCATAGGCCATACATAAATTTAGATGCCCCAGCCTTCAGACTTTACAGGGTTAAATTACTAGGACATCCCTACCATTCCTAAAACTAAATTTTTAACTTTAATAATTTATTTTATTTTCCTAAAACTAAAAAAAATAGACAATTACTAAGTTTTCATAATTTTTTTAAATTTAGGATGTCGTCTTTGTTACTGTTCAGTACAGACTTGGAGTTTTTGGTTTTTTGTCAACGGAAGATAAAAATGCTCCAGGTTTAATTTTTTTATGAATTCATTCAAAATTTACATAACATGAACAGTGCTATTTGTTAAGTTGATAGGATCACTTCTACATTAAGCTACAATAATGTTTAAAAAAGTATTTAAACATTTTATTTTAAGGATTGAAATCCCTGTATTTGTGGTTTGTATGATAAATTAAGTTGTACATATATTAACCGTTTTTTCTAAAAAATTTGAACAAATTATATAAATTTTTTCTATGAAAAAGTTTTTTTCTGTAAAAGATGTATAAAGATATTTTTCACTTCACAGATGTGCACAATCCCTTTATTCAGGTAACTATGGTCTGCATGACCAGCAGGCTGGTCTACAGTGGGTTCAGGACCATATTCATCACTTTGGTGGAGACAAGGATAAAGTGAATATTATGGGATGTTCAGCGGGTGAGACACATTCATTTTTTTTATCAGTTTTAGAAATTCACCAATTTTGATGTTCAGTAAGATACGAGAAAAATGAGTTTTAAAGGGACAATAGGTATTATTTCAAATTCCCTCCTTTTTAAAAGATCTGCATCTCCGATTAAAATCAGCTTAAAACAATGGACGATATCGTCATTGTTTGTTTAGTCTTAGCAAATGTTGAAAGATTCATTCTTGACCACGCAAAGAGACGTGAAGTACCGTTGTTGAAATTATGTCTTCTTTCCCTTTAATTGGTTAAAAAATATTAATTTCAACTCACTTATTTGGATATAAACGTGTTTCATGAAATTTTTTTGTTTTGATTTATTGCCCTAATTTATTTTCCTTTTATTTTCCCTCGGGAACTTTGCTGTTGAATGATGGTGCTAAAATAATGTTTTGAGGAAAAATATTCTTTTGGCCTTAACACTTACTTTTAGTAAATAAAACTAAATTTGTAAAATTATAAAAGTTTTGATTTGAGGACTTAAAAATTGCAACATTGATTTTAAATAATTTCAACAAAAAAATACAAGAAAACCATATTATTACAGTATTTTTTCCTCAATTTGAAATTAAATTTTTGAATTTATCTATCAGGAGGTGCATCAGTACATTACCATCTTCTGTCCCCAAGAGCAGCAGGACTATTCAATGGAGCAGTTTCCATGTCAGGTATTTCAATAACAGCAGCAAATGATAACATAATAGTTTTTTTTGACAATCATATTTATTTTTTCATAGGAGAATGTTTATATTTCAAAAAAAAAGTTATGGTTTAGACAGAACCAATGAATATTTGGTCTCCTAGACCTGACCCTGAGGCCGGGGAAGACGCCATTCTTCCTGTACAGCCCACTCTTGCCATGGAGGTATTGATGTGCATTCCGTTTGTTTGATTTTGAATCGTTTATTGTTTATATTTTCTTTTGGGTCCGAATTTGGAATAGTGAAAGAAAAGCTATTGTTTTATAAATTGTTTATTTTAAACAAATGTTAAAATTACATCAAAATTTTGACCCTGGCAGAAAATGCAAGGAAAGCCCAATCAAAAACTATTTTAAAACTAAAATTTGAAAAAGATCGTCTTTGGATCGTTTTTCTTTTTTTATAGAATACAAATATTTCAAAGTTTAATTAAAGCTAACGACAGGTTTGAAATATAGAAAATTTTATGAAAAGTTTTTTAAAAAACGATCTAAAACGATTAACAACACGACATGGAGATTTCTTTTTTTAATGATTTTCTGCATTACATTAAATTTTTGTAAAAAAGTCAAAAGAAATCCGAAAAAGAAAGTAAAAAGAAATGTTTTAAAAATTTAAAAAATTGACTGATGTAGACCAAAAAAACACGTCAAAAAAGTTAGTTTTAAAGAAAAGTACATCTTTGGGAGTTTTTTTTAACCTAACTCGTGTCATTTTTTGAAATTTTTCAAAAACTTCAATGAATTTAATCTTTTTAGACAATTACGGAGAAAATAATATATAACATGATAAATTCAAGAAATATTTTTTTTGAGCTATGTACACTTTATTTACGAACTGCACAGGCCTTGCACGACCACTTCCCTTAGGTTAAAAAAAATATCCTGTGAAAACTGACACCATAGAGAACAATATTAACCTGAGAGTTATTTGTGAGACAATATATTTCTATATTCTGTTGCAAAATGGGGAACCCTAATGTATAATCTGATAAGAAATGACAGAAAGAATGATTAGATTTGGTAATCTTTGTTTTACTTATGATTTTCCATTTTTATAAATCCTAAATATTTGAAATCTTTTGATGTTCTTAGGTTGGTCAAATTCATCCTGTTCCATTTCTGGTTGGTCTAGCTGAGAGCGAGGGTATATGGAGAGCTGCTAACTATCTTACTCAGGTTACAACGTGTTTTCTATATAATACAGCTCTTCCCTCATATAATTTTCTATCCAAATTCAATTTTTAAAAAATGTTCTTCTTTCAAAAATAATTTTTTTTTCGATTTTTTTATTTCACGGGCAACGACGGACCCTCCATGCTGCTAGCCTTTAATCTAAAAAAGGGAACCCGTTAGCATTTTTGATCTAAATTCGATTTTTTTCTAAATTGATTTTTTATTCCACGCGCAACGACGGACCCTCAATGCTGCTAGTCTTTAATCTAAAAAAGGGAACCCGTTAGCATTTTTGATCTAAATTCGATTTTTTTCTAAATTGATTTTTTATTCCACGCGCAACGCCGGTCACTTCAGCTAGTTATATAAACAAACGCTCTTTGACTCATATATTTATATTATATATGTTAGCTATAGCTTACCAAATTGGGTGAAATGTTTTGAGGAGACTCATGGATACCCTTGGGGGTAACATAGGCTAAAATATTCGATTTTTTATTCAAAATTCGTTTTTTTCATTCCACGGACAACTACGGGCACTTCAGCTTGAGATATTATTTTTAATATCAGTGTTTTTGGACAAAACAAAAACAACAAAGATAAGAATTTTAAAAAGAAAGTTTTAAATTTGAAATTCTGTTTCAGGACGATGTTATGATGGATTTCTTGAAAAATTTTGAAACTGTTGCACCACTAGCCCTCGGTCTGAAGGGACAGGTACACATTTTTATTTTCTAATTGAATATCCTCTATTATTATTATTAATTCGGAAAAAATGGGTTTTTGTCAAGATTTGTCCTGAAGGTAGAACGAACCAAGTAAATACATTATTATGGAAGTTTTATCTTAAAAGATTAAACAAAGTCGTTTATTAATTTTTTCTTTGAAGACATTTTTGAAAACTTTATGTTTCGGTAAAAGTATCTGTTGATGTCGTCATTATTTCTTTTGGGATTAAACGGCTTTGGTAGAGTTTTTGTCGCTCGAAATATTTTTTTAAATACTTACAATTTTCATGCCAAAGACTACATCTATCTCTATTTTGTAGGTTGCAGAAGACGACATGTCCGAGGTTTTACAGAAAATAAAGAAATTTTACCTTCATGCGCTCACAGACGAGAAAGACATGCAGAAAAGGCTTGACAGTGTAAGACTTTAATTGCTTTGTAGTTTTTAAACTTTTCTTTTATGATTTGAAAATTTATATTTAACGTTGCATTTGTTTCTTTTAACAATGTGTTCCATATTTTTAACAACCTCGCGTGGTTATATTATTCGGTTAAGTTAAGTTTTTGATAATTACAGATGCTAACAATCTTTTTTTCTCAAACTACATTATTTATTTTCATTTTTTTCAAAGAATGTGATATTAAATTATTATTTAGACTGTGAATGGCATGATTCAGATGTTAGGAGATTCTATGTTTAATTATCCTGTTGATAGAATGGTTAAACTACATGGGAATAAGGTAAAATTATATTTATATCATATACAGTGAGCCACAGAACACTGTGGAACAGTAAGACGACATTTAAGCATTTTTATGTGTATTTAATGTTGTTATAAAACAAAACGTTTTACCAACAAGCTTTACAATGTGTTTATTTGACTATTTAAAACCGAGCTTAGTCTAAAATTTAGTTATATTATATTATTATCTATTTTTGATTTCAAGGATTATTATTTAAAGGATTATTATTTGAAGGGCTACTATTTAAAGGATTTCTATATAAAGGATTATTATTTAAAGAATTAATATTTAAAGGATTATTATTTAAAGGATTACTATTTAAAGGATTACTATTTTAAGGATTATTATTTAAAGGATTATTATTCGAAGGGCTACTATTTAAAGGATTTCTATTTAAAGGATTATTATTTAAAGGATTACTATTTAAAGGATTATTATTTAAAGGATTATTATTTAAAGGATTTCTATTTAAAGGATTATTATTTAAAGGATTATTATTTAAAGGATTATTATTTAAAGGATTATTATTTAAAGGATTACTATTTAAAGGATTATTATTTAAAGGATTACTATTTAAAGGATTACTATTTAAAGGATTACTATTTGAAGGGTTACTATTTAAAGGATTATTATTTAAAGAATTACTATTTAAAGAATAACTATTTAAAGGATTACTATTTAAAGGATTATTATTTAAAGGATTACTATTTAAAGGATTATTATTTTAAGGATTACTATTTAAAGAATAATTATTTAAAGGATCACTATTTAAAGGATTATGCTCCGGTATGGATGTATGAGTTCAATTACAAACACAATCATAGTCTTGCTAACTTTGATTCAGCAAATCCAGGTTAATTTATATAGATGGTTGATTTTAGGGGGGGGGGGGGGGGTTGGGTATGTAGCCTACCTTAAA